TTACAACTAAGTTTTCGTTCGTTTCACTCTTTTTTCAATAAGGAATTCATAAGTACTTTACAACTTGGCTCGACTACATGTCTACAATAATTGATCTCTCCTGCACTTCAAAAAGATCGCACCCTTCTCAAGGACTCATCGCAGGAATTGCATCACCCGAGGAACCAACCATGTTCTCCAGTGTGAGAGGGTAAACCAATTCCCTGACACTCATATGAGTTTGTTCTCCAAAGCAGGAGGATAAACTCTACATTCCGAATATCAAGACGTGGATAAGTTGGGCTGCCCTAATATAACTAGATGCACAATAGCTTACGCCGAGATTCCCAGAAGTAGCCACAATGGTATTTTTCAAGGCTTAGCTAGCTGAAGGATTTTGGGTCTCTTGGCCTAATCCACGAGGAATCAGGCCCTAGAGATGGAGACGGCATATTATGCAGTACGCCCTATGAACGAATGCCCTGGAACCGTAAAGCTGCTACCGAGTGAACTAAGATAGCCTTCAGTTTCCAGGAGACTGTCTATGGCTTGCCCTTCGAGTAGTAAGTCGCGTTAAACTTATACAACCACACATTTATGTGAAAGGTTATAGCACGGAATAACCTACGCCAAGTCTTAAAGTGTTGTGATACTTGCAACGTAACCTATGAAATTAGAGAAAGCCAAAGTTAATAGCCAAGTGATCACGCCGACTCGTCTGCTTCTGTAAGTAAGGTATCCGACTGCAGAACTTATGGCTAACAACTTTGCAAAGTTCCACACCAACACCTACGGTTGCATGGGATACGCATGCCTGTCTGTTTATAAAAAAAAGTAGCACGTCTGCCACTAGTCTATAAAGTCTAAGGTTAGGTTATGAACAAAAGAAGCGAAGATGGAGAAAAGCGAAGGAAGCAAATTTATTAAATTTTCTAGCAAAATTGATAAACAACTAGCAAATACCGAATGAGTTCAAGCAAAAAACATCAAGGAAAATAAAGAAAATCCTAAAGACTACCTAGAAGACTACACTTTAGCATCTTGGATGATCCACGACTACTTAGTCGCCACACCTTCAGCAGCAGCGGCATTATCTGGCGCTTCACCCCCTGTTGCTCCAGCTTGGGCATCAGCTTCTCCGACTACTTCACCAATGGAAGCCTCGAAAGTAAAGGTGAGCAAGTCTTTCGGAGAAATAGAGAATGTCATGAAGTCTTTACCAAAAAACTCAAAGTTAGACGGTCTCCCAAAGAGATGGTCTACATAACCTAGCTTGTAGAAATCAGCTTGACTTTGAGTAAGCAAAGCCTCGAACCCAGCCTCGAACCCTTCAACTACTCATTCCCCTCTAGCAGACTAACATGGACCCGCTGCAGCTTCTTTACTTCCTTCTCCAGACTGTCATTGATCTTCAAAGCACTTTAGAGTTTCAACACTTGAGGTTCAAGCCTATCAACAACCTTCTTGAAGTGGATCACTTGGTTATAAGTAGCAATCAACTTTTCATCCTTTAAGTAAGCAGCGAAGCAAAACTCAGAAATGGCACACTCAAGGTCATGAATTTGAGGTATGTAACACCCGATCTCCTTCTTTACACTTTCATACTTTATTTGGATCACGTCAAGCCTAGTCTTCAAATCCACGATCTTCTGGTGAGCGGTCTCAAGCTACAGAGAAGTAGGGGCAGAGATATTAGACCCCTTCAAAGCGGTAAGCTCAGATTTCAACCTTTTGACCTTCTCGGCTGAAGAGTAAGCATCAACTACCACAATCCTTACCACCTTCTTGGTAGCCTTGGTGTCCTCTTGATCAAGAAGCATAGTCTTGGCTGTTAGAATCACCGTCTTCGACATCATAGCCAGCATAACAGTCATTCTATACTCAGTCGTGTGCTTCGCAAAGGAACTTGGGCAAACAACCCCTTTAATGCCATCAACAAGCTTGGCACACATATCCATGTCTTCAAGCAGATCTGGTTTCAAGAGTGCATAAATCTCAGCAATTTCTCCAAAAACAGACTTGGTGGATTTCTCACAACTGCCCATACGAATATTCTCCTTCTTTTCAGCAGCCAAATTGATCTCAGCAGCAGAGAAAACGGGTTTTAGAGCCACTTTAGCAGGCAAAGGCACCTTATTGCTCTTCATAATAGCAAACGTCTCCAAAGGTGAACTACACTTAGCCCTAGACGGATGTTTGGGCACGAATTTCAGCATTGGGGGCACAGTGGAACTCCTACGCTAAGCAATCATGTCAGCAATCGAACTAGTCGCCTTCAGAATGGCAGGCGTCATTGGCACAGATCTAGCAACCTCCTCTTTTTCGCCCTTGGAGGAAGTCAAGTTAATCATGAGCTTGAGAGCAGCCGGCGAACCTTCTTGAGCAACGGAAGAAGTTTTTAGCTTTTTCTCAACCGGCACCTCTTGAGCAAGTGAGGAAGATCTATTTTTCTCACCTTCATTTGCAGCAGGCTCCATAACAATGATCGGGCAAACCAATGCCTCAACCTTGATTCGCTTTATCTCCTCTCTTGGGGGCAGGCCACCTTTCTCCCGATGAAGAAGACTAAGCAGCTAACACCACTCACGATACTCAAAAGGGATAACTAGTGCAATATGCACCTTCTTCATGTCTGGATAAGTCCTAGGAATCGAGCCGAATTCTGAGTTTATAAGAGTAGAGGAAGATAATCAGTAAATTATATAGCAGCTTAGTAAAAGTACAAAGCAGTGAATGATTGAGCAGTCTACTTATTGGAGATGAAAACCGTCAGAACACACAGCTCAAGGGAAGAATCAAACTCCCATTCTCCGCTTATCTCCAAAGTCTCATTGGCCCAGTCATGATCTCCTTTACTCGAGTGATCAAAAAGCCTATGGTGAGATTGCAGCTGCCTAACTCATTCAATATGGCCAATGTCAAAGAAATACTAAAATCCGTTGACAGTCAAATCCAAGTTAAAGAATTGGCTTAGATTATGAAATCCCACCATCACGCGAACCTCATTAGGAGAACATTGGGCAGGGGCACACTTCATGGAGCAGAGCACCTCTTGGAAGAAACGCGGCATGGGAAAAAAAATCCCAATATGAAGTAATAAGGATGGAACTTGATGGCTCTCTGATCCCCACCACATGGCTCACGGCTGCTACTTTCCTTAACGCGTCTTACACACACCCCAAACATAATGGTATGCCTATATGCCTCAAAGACTCGTCTTGACGATACAATGGCGGCACACCATCATCATTCTTGTGGCTCGAGGAAGACATGCTTGAAGAAATTCGACAAAAACATGAGGAAAATTCGTTAAACGACTGCACACCAAAAAAAAAATGATGGGGCACGGCACAACAAGCCCCAGGGCCCAACATGGCTCTTAGCTTCTTTCTTATTTTCTTCTCACAAACGAGCCCAAGCTTGGCCAAAAAAAAAAAGCCATTTAATCCCCGCGGTCCAAAGACAGCAACCCAAGGAGCCCAGCCTGAGCTGTCCCTCCTCTCACCCTCTCGGCCTATAAGCCTCGCAGCCCCATCCAACCACAAAAGGGTTGGCGCCCCCACATTTTCTCTCACCTCTCCCGCACAGGCCCAAGCCCAACGATCCAAACGCCGACCCAAGCACAACGACCCAAGCCATGGCGCCCCAACGCCTGAACTCGAGCTAGCCCACGGCTCGAGCCAACTTGACACGACATCAAGCCATTCACGGCAACAGCCCTACCGTGGCTTCCCAGCCACATTTTCATACCTTCTCAATCCCCATCGAACCCAATTTCAAGCCTTGAGGATCCCAAAAATCAAGAAGACAAGGAAAATTAATTTTTTTTCTTACCTAGAAGCGACGAGGAGACGAAGCAAGCAACGAAAGACAATCCTTTGCACAGGCAAGGTGTAGAAGATTGCTAGTGGAGGGGGAACAAATATCCTCTAGCTCTCTCTTTTGTAGGGTAGAATAAATTGCTCTCTAAAGTTGATTTAATAATCTACTTAAGGTAGACTTAAACAGACTTTGGGAGAAATTTATTTCCCTTTTCTAGAAGGATCTAATTTCCTATTAAAGAGAGAATCTACATCAAAATAGGAAACAATTCTATGTTTCCTAAAGCAAGAAGATCTTTACACCTGCTGCCTTTTTCTGCAAGCAGCCCAACAGGTGTGAGGGCATTTTGGAGCCAAAAATAATCGAGAAAAATATCGAGGCAACACGTGGATTCTTGGGTAAAAAATGATAAAATTACCCTCGAGACACACCGGAACTTTTACGCATAAGCAGTGGCCAATCATGGTACAATCAAGGTCAAACGTGATCAAAATAGGTATTTATTCAGAACCTATTTCATCCATCCTTATCAAATCATCCCCACAAGGTAACCTTCAAATTATTTATTCAAAATAGGACTAATTACCTAAATTAATTGATTAATTCCCTAATTAATTAATTAATTTTCTAATTAATTTCCTAATTGATTGCAAGATATTATTTTGACATAATATCTTGCAATTACACCCAAAAACCACCAAATGTGGCCGGTTCCCATCTCTCCAAAGGGGGCCGGCCACACCCCTATAAATACCACCTCATTTTTTGCAAAATTCTCCAAGTTTCTCTAAACACTTTTCCTTCAAATTCTAATTTTGGCATCGGAGGTTCTTCAACCAAAGAGCCCCCCCCCCCCCCAAAATGCGAGGCTCTTGGCCTTGACTTAAGGTGTTAATTGTTTTGCAGGTGTATTTTCGTCCAAGAAGAAGAGGTGGAAATTTGCATCCACAGTAATGTAGATAATATCGTTTGTTAAAAAAAAAAATCATTTTTCAATATCATCTTAATTTAATTAATTGATTGTAGATAGAGAGGGGTGGCTCTTTTAATTCTTTTTCTGATTTTTTTGCATCTGTGGAGCACAGACTGGGTCAGAGAGGATTAAAGTTTTTGGTCAATTTGGTACCAAAGATTACGATTGATAACTGTTACTCCTCCTCATATCTCTCGTCACCAACCAATCTCTCTATCTCTCTCTCTCTCATCAAATTACCACCCTACTCGCTCTGCTGAATCTCTATATATTCATGCCCTTTGACTCTCATCACTCCATCAGTCTTGTTCTACATCTACTTCCCTTTGAGCCTTCAAATGATTTCTTTTATATTTTCACTTTTTCATAGCCTGTTTAAGCACAGAGAAGAACTATATAAGGCTTTACCCTTTCTTTTTTTCTCTTTTCACCGTGTGGTCAATGGGTCTGTATATATAATTATTCACATTAATACCTTTACTTTCAGTATATAAAGTCCTTCTCAGTCATCCCTCCTCCCCCTCCCTTAATTTCTCTCTCGATGAGATTTAGGGTTAGATCGATATCTAGGGTTTCCTCTACCTTCTGTCGATTCGATCGATTTTTTTTTTCAAACCTCTTTAGCATGGGAGTGATGATGGATGCCGTTAGAAAAATACCATCTAAATACAAGAAAGAAAACCCAGTCACTTTTTGCGGGTGGAGCATCATCAAGATTCACAATCTTACTTGGGTTCTAATTTTAACCCCATTTGATGATATGAGAATCTTGATGATGCTGCAGCAGCAATAAATGACTAATATCATCATATGTTTTAGGGTTATGGTGGATCATCAGCATCATGGGGTGCAGACTGGATACTTACTACTAGAGGGTAACTCCTTCAAATACGGGCGAATATTTATTTTTACAATTTTTAGGGTTATGGTGAATTTGTTATTTATTTGAGAGAATGGCATTATTATCGTTTTAATTTGCTTTTAAATAACTCTAATCTATGTTTAAGGTCACTAATCTTGACACTGCTGCTTTGTTTTGTGTTCCTATTGCCTATTCGCAAGTTGATTTTTTTAACCAGCTAACCACACATGTTTATGGTTTGGGTTCTGTGTCGGTTTTCTTGGCTTCCACCTGCACCATTTAGAGTTTTGCGATGCTGTCATTTTCGAGAAAAAGAAGAATAAGGGACTGTTTTTTCAGATGGGGTTTGATTTTCTGAAACTGTAAACCTTGTCCTGATCTGAAGACTGTCTGTACTTTGGTTGAATGGTACAAGAAATCATGGCCACCTTTTGTTTATTGGGTACTTTTGAGCTCTCTAAATATCCCGTTTTATTTTGGCTTTGGTTTTCCTACTCTAGATCGATTTTTACCATCTCCTATGGCGTTCAGATTTGTGGCCAGCTTTTGCCCTTATAGTTAGACATGATTTATTTGAAATATGAAAGAAAGTCACACATACCAATAATTGTTTTGCATCCTTATGGAAAGATAGCTGAATTTTAGTTTGTCTCGTTCTCAGGAGATCTTTCTACATATTTTTTGCAATCTTTTCTATATTTTTTGTTTGAGTTTATATGGTGCGCTTATGGGATCCTGAGGTTTTGAATATAAAAAAAAATTGACTTCGAGTTTTCATTATAGATATGGTACTTTAGGGTTTGGAGGAGCCAAACCTATCGCTATATATGTGACTTGTTTTGTTTTCATAAATGTATAATTTACATTCTTTAGAACTGTCTGTCTTGTTTATCCTTATTAATTGGGTTTTAATTTACTTACTGTTACTACCAAGTATGCTGAATATCTTGTTAATTTGATGCAATATTTGTTTGCAGTATTTCATTAATATGATGCATAAGCTGGTGGGCAAAAATTATTAGGGAGGTGAATTTCGCTCACACGTTTTGGCTTCTCACAGACCCTCTTAGTTTATGGGCATCATATTGGATAAATCAAACGAAATCAACGAACATATGATGTATCAGGAGTGTGTAAGTAGCTAATATAAAAAGAGTGTTTATCATTTTCCTAATTATTACACACTTTTTAGGTCTCTTGATGTTGCAGGAGTTTTCATTTCTGAAGGTGAGTTGTTCTTATTTGATGGTACACAAATAGTACGTAGCATATATTAACATGTCAGAAATTGTTATAAACGTACTGAAGTAATTTTTTAGCATTACTTGTTTGCATATTGTTTTGAGAGATCCAGAGCAGCAACAATCAGTAGTGATCATTTATTCATAGTTCAAGAAACATATAGAGCCAGAAACATTTTAATGTGCGTAAATGTTTTAACATTAGGACATTTAAACAGGGCAAAACTTGTACCGAATAATACATTACTGAGCTCACCTATCTCAAGCGTGAATTTCCTTTGTCCTCGAGATATCGTGTGTTTGTGTGTGTGTGTGTGTGTGTGTGTTCTATGGAACCTGTTCTATGCGATTATGTGCATATATGCTTAAAAAAAATTGTAAATTTATGTTGTTTTTGTAAGCTGTTTGGAAGAAGATTTGAGTGCCATTTTATGTTTTTCATTTTTTTTTTTTTGGTATAGCAGTTAGATAGCTAGATGACACCTTTTGTTTAAAAGGGAAGTCTTATCCAATTTGACATGACAGGATATAAACTGACGATTAGTAGACAAATCGAGGCATCGATAGGCACTTTGAGAGGGGGAGTAGCCGAGATAGAGACAAAGGCGTGAACTGGGTTGTAGTTTGTTATAGTTGTAGGGTCTTAGCAATGGAAAACATTGGCACCCAAATACACGAAGTTTATGATAATGCAGATTTTGTCCAAAGAGAGTGGTGTAAAGGGTAGTCTTATCCAATTTGACATGACAGGATATAAACTGACGATTAGTAGACAAATCGAGGCACCAATAGGCACTTTGAGAGGTGGAGTAGCTGAGATAGAGACAAGGGCGTGAACTGGGTTCTAGTTTATTAAAGTTGTAGGGTCTTAGCCATGGAAAAGGGTCTTAGCCATGGAAAACATTGGCACCCAAATACACGAAGTTTGTGATAATGCAGATTTTGTCCAAAGAGAGTGGTGTAGGGAGAGACGTTGGCAAGTGTTTGTGTAGGCATACAATTGATAAGGTAAATAGCGGTTTGGAAGGCATATGACCAATAGGAGAGAGGTATGGAGACATGATGGAGAAGTCATAGATGGAGAGGATGAGACTTCCCTTTTATTGTTTACCATTGTGGAATGGTGATTCGATCTTTGGAATCTCTTCCATCATTGAGAAGAGGAGTATCGACATGCCAAAACTAGTTCAGTAGATTTGATGACATCATAGACCTGCAGCTGATCACATGCATGGAGGAATATTTAGGGTTATATGTTTGTGTTCAACACACAGTCTTGAGAGAATCCGCCTTCTTTTTTCATGTTTGGTTCTTGTACAAATATAAAAACAGAAATAAACTGAAAGAAAAACAGTAAGAAAACTGTTGATATGTTTTTCTCTTCCACATCTCCCTCTGAACCAATTAATGATGCTTTTTGATTAAATTTTAATCTGATGCATGCCTTCCAATCAATATGGTGGTGGAAAGTTGGTGAAAAGTTCTTTTTAATATATGATTTTCCATAAGTTGGTGAAAAGTTCTTTTAATATGGCTTGGCCTTGGATCAGTACTGGAGGCAACTTCTATGAATTCCTCCCTTAATTTTTCTTCTGAGGAATATTTGCACACTCCTTTTGCATCTTCACGCTCTCCACTCTGTTTCTAGGCACAAGATTAAATTACGAACTGTAAATTAAGGTATAGAAACAAGTCGAGGAGTAAATGGGTAGAAAAAGAGAGTGAATTTCCTTCCCCTTTAAATTTTGCTGCATTTATTTTTGCCTTAATCTTTGGAATCACAAATTGTACAGACTGGGCTATAAGTTGTTGCCGTTGAGTGAGGGTAGAAAGCCCAATCCATTGGGCGAGGATAAATTTATTGGGCTATATTTTAATTTGGTCTTTTTGTACACATAGTATATTTTGGGAAACTCATCCTTTGTATCCAAATCTCAGTGGTTGTATATCTATAGCAACTTTAGGTCATCTCTATCCAGAACAGCTATGAACATAGTTCCGTTTGAAATTATATAGTCATGCACAAAATTATTTCAAAATGAATAATGTCAGGCCATACTTATATACTGTATTCAACTAAAGGACTAAACATAGCATCCTCAATAATTTTTTAGTTTTAAGTTTATATTTTAAATTTACTGGCTAATTTAACTAAACTATCATTAGATATTTTCAAATATAACCGTTGAATTTGAATTAATTATTAAAAATAAGGAGATGGGCCCCAAATAATTGGCTAATTAAGAGGGAGTTTACATTTGGCCAAGCCAGATGCCTCGTTGGCCAAATAATGGCATAGTGGGCTATATATAATTATACCACAACTATCAGTTGGAGATGAGTTTTTAGATAAATTAGGCAATTTTACTTTTGGACATTTAGCCATCTGCATTGGAGATGGTCTTATGCTCACAAGTGATTTTTGTTGAAAGTGTTTTTTTTTTTCAAGTACCTAAATTTTTTTTTTATATAATTTTAAGTCATTTTTTTAAAAGGACTTTGAAAGTATAATTCTTTTGCACAAAAAATTACTTTTAAAACTCAAAAAATATTTGTTATATGAAAGCAAGAATCACTTTTAACTATTTTAAAAAGTCCTAAACATGCCTTAAATAAGACATTTGGGTATTTGAAACAGAAAGATCAGATTAGTTGCAAAAAGCATGAGGAATCAACATTTTCATATACCAATTTGCATGGTCTTACCATATGACAATATCATTTTTGGGTCATCTAATCTGAGGAAGGGGAACAATATCACTTCCAATCATGTCCATAATCAACCTAAGATATCAGAAAATATTAACCAAGAACTAGAACTAAAATTAAAACATGATAAGGCACTAAATTGCCTTAGTCGATTTCTTGTCATTCTAATTAATTCTCTTAATTTAATTAGTTAATTTGTTTAGATTTCTCTCTCGATCTTGCTTAAAAGTTGAATGAGTTTTGGTTGCTACTTGGTTGTTGTTAATTGTTTTGGTTTATATTGTGTTTGTTTTTTAGTTTTATGTGGGTAGTGGTCATAAGCACATGTAACTCACATGGAGATAGATATTTATCTCTTCCCACTTGATCAAATTAGACAAGGATCTAAATGTAATTTAATCACCATTAGAAATAAAATCTTGCTATGTTTATACAATAATACCAATCTTCCCAGGCCAGAAGCATATTCTTGAACTTCTGATAAATAGATATTATTCTTAATCTAATTAATTAAATTGCTAAATAGGATGCGACCGAATAGGACAACATATAAATGTTAATTAATTTGAAACAATCACATTGTTACTCAGTCAAACAACGCTATAACTTTGTAGAAAACCATGTTCTGATATAATATATCTTGTAAATCCTGGATATATAAAAGATCATTATTATTATTATTATCCACTGTTGCAATTACTTTTCAAGTTTGCAAATATGCAAATCAATCTCAGGGTATACATATCTTTCGTTTAGCTGTTTGAGTTTTTCCAAGTTGATAGCATGCAGTAAGCATAAGCAACTTTTCTGTCAATCATTAGCCCTAATCACTAATTAAGCAGAAAGAAAGATAGCATGCCGAAAGATTTGAAGGGTATTATCATATGTTCCCTCATCCGATTAGTAACATGGCATAACTTAAGGGAGCTGCTAATGATTTTGGTGCCTGAAAAAGGAGGGTCCAACGAATTGTTTGCAACGTATCGAACTTTTGGTCCATGGAAAGTAATCAATGCAGGATTTCTTTGTTGTAATCAAGAAGAAGGTGTTGCCGCAAAAGAAGATAAAGATTTGTTCAAAGAGAGATTAATCAACTTGTTATTTGTGTGTGCGTTTAAAGCTATTGAATAAGTAGAAATCTCTGTTTGGGATTAGGTCCATGTGAGTGAAAGTAATTGATCTTATAAATATGGAGCGCAACTGAATCCACTTGGAGGGACACAACTCAATTTTTATGTAGGAGCTGGTAATGATTGAGTTTGCCGCAGAAAATGGTTCATGGAAATTAGGAGTAGTCTATGCAGAAAGTGTTGCTGCAAAAGCAGATAATAATGTTTGTTCATAGAGAGTCATCAATTTTTGAGTGTATAACCAATGAGTGGAAAAATTATATACATCTTTGTCTGGGATTTTGGTGCATGTGTGTTAAAGTACCACTAAATCAATCAATCAAGATTCCCAAAAAAAATCTGACTCTTGGAGGGAAGCAAAGGAAGCTTTGCTTTGCTGCTTCACTGAAGCTTTGACTTATAAACAAATAGTAAACTACGAAGAAAGTTAGGTTTCTCCATACGGAGAGTAGCTCAACGTATTTTAAGCCTATTAGGTCTCTCATGCCATCAACGTGGGACTCATTTTCAACACGCATTCTCACTTGTGAGGAATTTTTAAGCTTAACACATAGGACAACCTTCTCTGATATCATAAAGAAAGTTGAGGTTTTACCATAAACCCAATTGGCAATATTAGGTGTAGCATAACTTACTTATAAACCCATGCAATGTCCCGTTTCCCATCAATGTAAGATTCATTCTCCACAAACTAATGCCTGGCCTTAGAAAAGACAATGCGTTCTTGTTTCATAATTGGGAGGAAATTTGAGAATACTATGGGTTTGAGTACATTCAATTTCACCCCCCCCCAAGTGCTGCAGATACAGTCACTTCGTTGAATCTGCTTTCTTTTGCTCACTGAACCAAAGGTGCCTGCTTATGCTTTGGAGTGCAGAAATTGCAGTGTTTTTATTAGTTCTTATTGCTTACAACTGGATCAATTGTTTTGCCCTGGCTTCTTCAGAAAACTCTTGAAAAGTAATCACATTGCAAATATTGTCACAATATTGGCCACAAATATCGATGAATTTCATCAAAAAATAAATTAATAAATTGAAAAGAAGAACATGCAGCAAATCTTAGTGAGAATTGAATTAGGATCAGATGATACAATGAACATAGAAATTAAAAATTTTAAACAAATCATTGTCGTGATTATCATTAAGCCAGTAATCAACCTTGAAAATGAAGTTATCGGAATAGAAAAATTGTCTGCAATCGACTTAAATGATTTCCTGCTGATTCATATGTTAATTTAAGCAAAGATAAGTTAGTCATTCTCT